AACACAAGGGGAAGAAACCACAACAAACAGTCCAGAGGGGTGTTACACTGTGGAGGAGCATGGAGAGAAGAACGAGGAGACCTCGTACGACCTTTAGTACAATCTAAACACAGACTTTAATCACATCAAGGGAACCAGGAAATCACATGTAGCGGGAAGGAAGACATTAACAGACATTAACAATACCGGATGCCGAACTGATAACAAGTAACATTATTTATACAAATGACATGATGATGGGATAACATGACACACCTGGGATCAATAGAACTGAAAAGGGGACACCTAGAACAGATAAAGACAGGAACGGGAAGGACCAAATATGGGCATGGAAGGCACATGGGGAGCAAAACACACACAAAACACGGAACAAAGTCTGACAGCCCCATAGTTGTGTCCAATGTTTCTAGATTTTTCATGTACACATTGTAATGGCTTTCTTTCATGTTGTAGACCACGAATTAGCAACTGATTTACAGTTGAGATACAGGTTCTCACAAAAACAAAATTAATTGTAAAATGATAAATCTCACAATTGAGTCATTAAACCATTCTTTTTTAAGAAAAGTGATGTCAGTAGCATAAATTATTATATTAATTTAAAATGGGGTGGATTTTCGCAATGGTCTGAACAAAAACAGCAGACAGAATTATTGAAAATGCACATTCATTCTCTGCCAGTAGGAGGCGTTTTTGGAACGTCAGAAATATAGCGGTTTCCACGGTAATAACTGTACACGAAGCAATGCTCCGCTCATAAATGAAAATGCCATCAAAACTTTTCTGAAGACAGACTGTTCCATTCAGAGATTCATTCACATAAAAACCTGAATTAGTGAGAATGAGAAAAGTGTGGAAAAAAATTCTGTGGAGACGTGAACGTCTCCACGCTTAGTGCGCATCTCTTATATGAAAAGCATTTTAGGGGGCCCTTGGCTTTTGGGGGCCCAAGGCGGTTGCCTACCTTTGCCTAATGGGTAAGTCCACCGCTTGCCTGGGCTATAAGAGAAAAGTTCTTATAAGGAAAGTCAGCTCATTTATCGGCCATCTTGGTTGTTTTAATTAATTCACTACAATTGGATATATTTTAATATGTTAAATTACCAATATAATAAGATAGAGATATCATAGATTTTACTTCTTTAGCTCAAAGCACACAACAAAACTTTATTTTTTTATTTTTTTATTTATACTACTGTTTAACTGTAAAGTTGGCGGGACTTTTTTTACAGCCACAATATTGAATGTAATTTGCTCCATTTTGCAATGAGTGGTCTATTCTGTTACAATGTCTCAGGTTAGAAAAAGAGTTTACTTTAGTTCAATAAAAGTTTATTTTTGAGTTGAAAAAAATGCACCCTGATTATTATTTGCCAAATAGGACAAATATTAATGGAATTATATAATATCATTATGAACACTAAACATTACCAGAATCACCTTGGACTTTTGTGCTACATAATTATTCAGTATCTGTCATGGTATACCTCAAAGTACCATGATTTAACCATCTGTGCAACACTGCACCATGCTGTTACAATTCTATAAACAATTCGGTAAACAATAAAGATCTATATCAAGAATATACCATGAATCATTTAATTACAGTAATATAACACATAAATTAATTCCAAACATTTAATTAGTCTGTAACTATTTATTGGTGATGATATTTGCTAAAACCCAAATCGAAGTCTATAACTAAAGCTACCCCTCACAAAAAGTTGCTGCAATAAACTATCTATCTATCTATCTGTCTGTCTGTCTGTCTGTCTGTCTGTCTGCCTGCCTGCCTGCCTGCCTGCCTGCCTGTCTGTCTGTCTGTCTGTCTGTCTGTCTATCTATCTATCTATCTATCTATCTATCTATCTATCTATCTATCTAT